AAGATAGAGTCAAATGACGCCACCATCGGGCAAGTGTTGTGAAGATCGAACCCCTGGCACCAAAAAATCAGACATCTAGGCCTCGAAGACGTTCCATGCTTCCAGAATAATTCAATCTGAACAAGGCTTGTCCAGAAATCGGCTCGAAACGAAGAAATCCAAACTGCACGAAACGGGCACAGCAAGTCAATACATCAAATAAATACGGCGATATGTGAATTTAATTGAATCCATGGCGCGTCTGAAGGCGATTTGGTTAACGCCGGAGTTTTTCCACTCAGCTGCTTGGGCAGCCCATTCAAGAAAACAGAACTTTTTTCTTTCGAAAAGTCTAGGGTCGACTGGCGGTTCCCTTGAAAATAGAAAACTTGCTTCATCTGGCTGTACTTCATCCATAAGCCACATTCTGGCAATAGCACCATCTTTTGCCTCTGCCCCATAATACCCTTTTTTGTCCGAGTCGAATTATCATCGTCAAAGCACTGATTGAACTCTAGGGATTTTTTAAATATAAATCTTCCTCAGATATCGTGGATACAAACGTCAGATACAAAGATAACATAGGAAAATACCACTCGTTCCCCTTTCAAAAAAGCCATTACAAACTCGTCCAAATTCAGGCCTAGTGACGCGAAAAGGCTAAATATAACTCTCAATCCCTTCGACATTATTTTGGTCCTTCATCCCTTAGCCCATTCATTCACTCCAGCCCATCGCATGCTCTTTAAAGAACCCCGTGAAAAAATGAGAAATGAAGGGTACTGTAAAAGTTGCTCCAGACGACTCCCTCCGTGGAATTGTCCTCATCCTAATTTACGTTTTAAAGAACTTCAATTACCATTGTCACCCTTTGTCACATACCACCCTTTGTTGTCAATAGGTATTATTCAAAAACTACTATGAAGGCGCTGATTCCGTCAAAAACACCAACTACCTTATTTATTTATTTATTTCACAGACTCAGAGGTGTGGGTAACCTGTAGGACAAAAGGCCCCCAAAATGAAAATGATCGAAAAAGAGCAAGATTGCAAACATAAACGAATAAAAGCGTTCATTTAAAGTTAAAACTTGAAGGATTCCCATAACCCTATGTGATGTCAGTCATAACTAGGATACTCGTCGAGGACACACACTAAGCAACAAATTCTATATAATATCGTATTCTAATGAACTATTCCCATTATCTCAGCAGCTCGAAGAACTCCCGAGAAATTTTTGTGAGAAATTTCAAATGGGAACAGATTGGCATGCGAAAGTGCTGCATATTCTCACGAGCATGATATAGAGGTTCCACCAAGATTCTCAAGCATTCCATTAAATCTGGTCTTTGAAAAATTCAAAGAAAATCAGTTATTATCGCATTCACTCTCAAGCCACCTAAGTTAATGATCGGGGAGAAGCCATGTATTCAGCTTCTTTTCCAGACTGAAAGAAAATTTCCACAGAAAAAGTCGTTGAGGAGGAAAAGTGACGCCGAAAAACTACTATGGGATGATTTGAACAGTTACGTGATGATGTTGACACGAGTTACTGGTTTGTTTGGTGGTTTGCCACTACTTCCGGCAAAATAAGACCCACTATAAGATGCATATCTTGGACTAGATAACTCAAAACAAACATGCCCAGTGGTGCGGGAGGGATCTGAGCGATAACTGTTTTCAAGTAGGTAACGAGTTGTTTGTCTTCAAACAGGCCGACAAGCAAACAGTAAACATCTCGGATAACTATTCGCAGGGAAATTGCTACAAAAGTACTGCTCTTCCGAACCAAACGGTAAGAATATTCACTTTGATTCAAGCATGCTCTGACCCATGGACTATCAGATAGAATCTCGCTTAACAGAACAATTCCAGGGGTTAAGCTACTCGATACGATACTAGCTTGGAAGATCTACTTGTGCATACGTAAACTCCCGCAAGTGATTGCTAAGGTCAGTTACAATAGACGAATACCGGATGCACGGCGCAACTTGCAATAGGGTGAATTAACTACCTCACTATTTTAGTATTTGACAGATAAAAAAACAGCTAATAGAGGTGGAACGAGAATATCCTGCGTAAGCCCAAGTATTCTTAAGATAGGAGTGATTCGAGGGCGAAGGTATCTTACTTACGCCTTTGAAGTTGAGTCTTCTTGATACTGACTGAACTGGGAAATCTGAAGTATGCACCAAAACTCACACAAACTGCACTAGTATATGTCGGATCCACTTTCAAACGTCTCAGTGAGTAAGTGGAAGTTAAAAGCGTGGCGCATCGCAAGGGACTCCAGCAGGAATCGACCATTATACCCTTGACAAAGAGGCTCTGACGCGGAAGCAAGCTTCAAACCTAAACAAACCCCTATGTGATAAGTTTCTCCAGAACAGCCTAGATTCAAGTGTGCTGGAGGACATTCCAGTGTTGTTGAAACTGGTGAAAAGCAACCGCAGAGGAGGAAGTAGAAGGGAACTGGTAACAGGAGCCACGGTGAAGGAGTCTTGAATGGCGACGAATAAAAGGATACAAGACGAAATGGCGGAAGGAATTGCTCGTAAAACACGATTATTATGGGACAACCAAAATGTTGCCACATGAATGAAGGAGTTCGAGCTATCCGATGCCAAACAAGCGGAAGAATGTTGCTACACGAGGCCTTGAATACGGAAGGCCTTGCACTACGGAATCGATTTCACGTGCCAGAGGACGAGAGAATTCTTACATACATATAGCTTCAATGCACTATGAGGATGGACACCTCAGACAAGCGTTTATTGGGTTTTCTTGATTGTCTTGAGCCTAGAAAGAAAGACGCCCCAAGCTGACAAATCCGCTCGGCCAAAGGGCATGTGATTCTTCCACATGACCGAAATTAAGTTACAATCGAAAAATCAATACAAAGTAACAAATATAGAGAACTGGAACATCATAAACCCTAGAAGACCATTCCCTTACCCTGAGCAAATGATCATAAAAACACAGGAGCAGGAGAAGAAAGACGAAGAGGTGGAGGAAGAGCAGGAGCAGGAGAAGAAGGAAGATGAAGAGGGTAGGTTCTATGAAAGATCAAATCGTACTCGTGAAGGCGAAGGCCCCGACCATGGATCAGTATCTTCTAGCTGAATACGAGTAGATTCAGGCCTACGGACGTCACCACACCTTGGCCCTTCAACCAAAATCTGCTCATTATCAAACTCTCGCTCCATAGTTGGCAAGTAGACCTCTCACGCATTCGGGAGGACAAGCACCCTCATACAACAATTGAACCCACGGCATAAATGGACCCGATTCGCTTTGTGAAGCCACTAATAATGTATACCTAAGTAGAGTGCATGGCACATACCAACCAGGATTGGGCAACGTTCTTTCCACGAAGGTCTGTGACTGAACGGAAGTCAGGCAACATTGCTAAACTCATCATAACTACGGAGAGCCAGGCTATAATCCATAGGCCGCTGAAGGACTTCTTATA